TAGCTTCTTGCTCCTAGTAGCGATGCCCTTTGTTCCTAGTAGCATTCTTGCTCCTAGGAGTAAGGCCAGGAGCCCCCCATGTCAAAAATTGTCACAAGGCACACCAACTTCGTTACACTCGACTGGTGCAAACTAAGGCTCGTCCATTCCAGGCAACGATTTAACGAGTTGTCCATCTCTTCGAAGCTCCCAAGTTCTTCGGAAACGATTCCAGGTCAATGTCCAAGACGGTTGCTGCCTGCTCGGCTGGGGGGCGATGGGTGACACGGTCCAGTCCAGGTAGGGAGATGGTGAGAGAAATTGGTGTGACTTGAGAAGTCTGGAGTCTCTTGGAGCCTTGGAGTGGAAGAGAGCCCTTGATCCCACCGCCAAACGATAGGTTTGATAGGCAAAATAAGTAGCAATTTCAGTAGCTGTGCCAGAAAGAGCCAAAGTGCCAAAATGCAAATGGTGCCAGCTTGGGTGGTGTACATAGCTCTTCCACTTGGTAGACCCATCATGATAGAATGTGTGCCAAATGGGGGACGCTGAAACTGTTCGGGTTCGGGTTGATGAGTTGATGTTCAGGTTGATTATTCTTGGGTAGCAAGGCAGCTCTGAAGTTTGCAAAGTTGGCCCATACAAACTGATCATTTCATAACGTGTCTATTTATGTCTATCGGAGTCTATTGGAGTCCATCCTCCGTCTGAATGGGCTTACTTCAGGTTCAAGCCCACCCCCATGTCAGCCTTAGGAAGGCTGCACGTCTCTGGCTGTTCTTGGGCAGTGAGACAGCAGGCTCACCCAAGGAAGGGATGAAAGTCTTCGTGTAGCTGGGGGCGCCAGTGATGTCTATGTCACTGGGACAGTAGTAGCCGTTGAAGTCCTGCAAAAGCTTCATGCAATGTCAGAAGAAATTGACGTTTCATTCAATGATATAGTATGTGTTTGGATGAATAGTTGCTTCTAATATATAATGAAGCCGCTTGAGTATGTTGATCTCAGGTCTCTGGAGTAGCGATGGCCTCCAACCTAAGAGCGATGGCCTCGAACATACTAGCGATGGCCTCCAACCTACTAGCGATGGCCTCCATCCTAGTAGCGATGGCCTCCATCCTAAGAGCCTAAAAGCGATGGCCTCCAACCCAGTAGCGATGGCCTCCAACCTAGCAGCGATGGCCTCCACCCTACTAGCGATGGATGGCCTCCCGCCTACTAGCGATGGCCTCCAACCTAAGAGCGATAGCCTCCAACCTACTACGTAGGCTTTGGCTTCGGAGGGGTGTTTTGGCGGGCGCAAGTTTTGGTGACTGCGTGAAAGCCTGGTGGGGTTATGTGGATGTGGCGGGCTTAGTGGAGGGGTGTGGCTACATGAATGGTTACCACCATTGGGGCTATGTGGGGGCTTTGGCGCTTTGGCAATCCTGCTGTTCTTTTTTTTGTTGTGAATGATGAAGGAACCGCACATTTACAGTATGCGGAGCCGCCCGTCGCCCCCAAACACATGGACAGAATAGGAATTATACACTACCTCCGGGAGGATAATTAACCTTGGGCCGCCCTCCACATATTTTAATGGCGTAACCGTAGCGATGGCCTCCAACCTAAGAGCGATGGCATCCGACCTAGTAGCGATGGCCTCCATCCTACTAGCGGTGGCCTCCAACCTATTACAGTATGTATGCCAAAAAGCCTGAGGGTGGCGTGCTTGGCTGAATAGTGAAGGGACGCTCCAGTTTCATGCAGGTGGCAGAGGTCCAAAACTCTCTCAGTGGTGTCCTGGTAAGTCATACTCTTGCGAGGCTGCGAGGTCAATGCCATGCCCAAGCGCCTGAAATTCCACCAAGCTGCACAATCTAGGCACGACTCAGGTTCCCGCTGATTTCTCAACTAGACGCAAAGGAGACATCAGGCAAATATGAAAATGATGCTGCCGCCAATAAAATGTGTCGAAGACCTTTCCACTTGATTTCCAAGTGGACACTAGGTTAGTAATTGTCCTGGACTATCAAAATACAACAACAACAACAACAACGTTTCGTGGACTGTGGAATGTCTCCAAATTCAACAAAAGGGAAATGTCACATAACCACACACTCACTTCATCATATGCCGGTTTAATGACAATTCCATGCTTGTGGTCGGCATTGTTCAAGCAAAGGTGGCGAATGACCACCTCGAACAGCACGTAGGTGTTCGCCGAAACAAAACATAGCAAACATGTTTGCTAAACATCGCACATGTCTGCTCGATACGATCCTTCTCCACAGATTCAGTTGTGGTCGCATTGATGACGGTACCATAAGAACAAGTTCAGTCAGCTGTGATCGATCATTCAGGCCAGGGGGCCTTTGCAACTTGCAGCAGCCGAGCTTGAACATGTTGGAATCAAAGCTGACACTCACCACGACCCCTCCTCCCTCACAATAGGATGCTGTGGGCTGCTGGCAGGAGGACAACAGCGGTGTGGAGCGGCAAAAGAGACGCAGTCCTGAGGTAAACAGTATACACTGATGGCGAACAAAACCAATGCGGGATGAGACACATCTTTACAGTCCACATGTCAATGCATAGAAGAATGTACACAGTCTTTAGTCTTTCCACTCCCCATCCACCCATAGAAACATGTCAAATGGAGTGACCTGATGTTTCAAGTCGCGCTCTCAACTTGAGACTGGATCCTTTTCGTTTCCTTCGGCAATTGGAGTAATCCTGCCGAAGACTTGCTCCAGGTTTACTTTCGAATGTAATTCAGGTGCAAAAAGTATGGGTTTGACATTGCATTGAGATGTTACACCGCACTTTGATTCTATTGTCCACCTAAACAATTGGTATCGAGATGCTCAAGAGACATTTGTCCGTTTGTTTCTTCTTGCCTGCCAACCAATTGTGTGGAACCACAAAGCCACCCACTGAACACTTCCCTTTAGCGTGCCAAAATCGAGCCATGGAAATAACTCAACCACGGACCAAAGAGTCACCGAGGCTTTCTGTCAAGGCTCCGGTGGCATTGCTGGGACCACCTCACAAAACGGCAAAACCCGTTGATGCCCATGATACTGCAGCCGCTGCTGCCTTTCAAACTTTACAGCTCTAGATGAGGAAATATTCATCTCCGCCAAACTATAACACAAACAAACCTCAAGGGAGTGATAGATTCAGAAGAACAACAAAAGGCACATCCATGAACAGCATGAGGGATTATGAACAAGTAATAATGCTCTTTAAAGTGAAAAACAGAACGACTACACTCAGCAGCGATGGTTGTAAAAACCAAAATCAGGCTCTAAACGAACAAAGACTGACCGAGACACCATATGTGTCTCCTTTCACGGGGATTCCCGGCAGATTGTACCAGCCACTCACCGCACTGCCATCAGGACAATTCATCGACCCGGAGAATGCATAGAAGGTCCTCTCCTTGGGCAGTCAACTTGGCTAAAGGATTCGCTCCTGTCTCCAACCTAAGAGCGATGGCCTACTAGCAATGGCCTCCAACCCAGTAGCGCTGGCCTCCAACCCAGTAGCGATGGCCTCCAACCCAGGAGCGATGGCCTCCAACCTAAGAGCGATGGCCTCCAACCTACTAGCGATGACCTCCAACCTAAGAGCGATGGCCTCCCCTGAGGATCCGATATTGAAAGACATCAATCTTACGATTGGTCCCACATCTTTTTCAATAATATTGAAAATGGTCAACTTGGAAGCCAAAAACATCAATATCATGATCAATATAATATTGGTCATGATATTGGTCGATATTGGTCAATATTGGCTTCAAATATTGATCATGATATTGATCGTGATATTGATCATGATATTGGTCAATATTGATCGTGGAGATCCTGTGGAGTTCTTGTGGAGTTTAGAATCCTGTCGAGATCCTGTGGAGTTCATGTGGAGATCCTGTGGAGTTCCTGTGGAGTTTAGAATCCTGTGGAGTTCCTTTTGACATTGATATTGGTCTTGATATTGATCGTGATATTGGTCGATATTGATCAGAAATATTGAATATTTTTCAATCTTCAATATTGAACAAACAATCCTACGATTGAAAAAAGCAAGTTCAATAATATTGTTTTTTTTGCGATATTGAGTGTTTTCAATATCGGATCCTCAGGGTCCAACCCAGTAGCGATGGCCTCCAACCCAGTAGTAGCGATGGCCTCCAACCCAGTAGCGATGACCTCCAACCTACTATAGCGACGGCCTCCAACCTAAGAGCGATGGCCTCCAACCTACTAGCGATGGCCT